AACATTAATATTTAGCGTATATCACTCATTTTAAATTGTTAGTTTTTCTGTCGCATAATATGATGAGTTGGTCGTTAACAGATTCTTGACACAAATAAAAATAGCATCACCTGTAATCCACACGTCTCTATCAGATTATAATTTTTCTTAGAGTAAATTACAGATTTCTGACCATATCTCTACTTCAGCTTAGTTCATGTGTGTTGAAACTACTAAGGTAAATACCAATCTGCTCTTTGTCTACACCCTTCAAAACTTACTCGTACATCTCCCTGCATTTACTAATATATAATTTTTGAAATATTCTGATAGGCAGTAGATGTGAAATTGTTATAACTTAAGTGTGATTGATGGTCTGTTATTCAACTTTATCTATTACAGTGATCCTGCTGGAATAAATGCAATGGATACCGGGTCATCGGATGAAATTCCACTTAGTACTCTCCGACGTTTTATTGCCTTTGCACGTGAGCGCTGTGGTCCTCGTTTGTCTGAACAGGCTGCTGAAAAATTATCGAATCAGTATGTCCTCATGAGATCTGGTTCTACACGGTACGAACAGGAAACTGGAAAACGATGTGCCATCCCTATAACAGTACGGTGAGTATTCGGGTGTCTGATTGAGACCATATAATTATGTTAGTCCTAATTACGTTAATCGGTATGTTTTACCGCACAATTGTTTTAATGAACAATGATAATGTAGTAGATTAAGTTGTAAAAGCTATAGGGAATCTGAAGCGTGGGAGAGCAGCAGGCCCTGACAGGTTTACGCCTGAGATTTTTAAGGATGATGGTCCAGTATTAGCAGCAAGATTTACTGAGATCTTAGGTAGAATCTGGGAACTGGACGTAATCCCTTCTGACTGGTCTCAATCACTGATTCTGCCAGTCTACCAGAAAGGTCAATCACAGAGGAATCAGTTTGGTTATAATAGTGTCTAAAATATTGGCTTCACTAATACTTCGACGCCTAACCAAAGCTCGTGAAGAACAGACTAGAAAAAACCAGGCTGGTTTTCGACCTGGAAGTGGTTGTATAGACCAGATATTCACACCACGTTAGGTCCTAGAACATAGACACACATTCAGACGCCCCATAATCGTAGTATTTCTCGACCTTAAGGCGGCATTTGACTCCGTTGATCGTGAGGTTCTATGGCAGTGTTTGTCACTGAAAGGATAACCAAAGAAGTACATTAACCTTATAAAGGCTCTCTACTCGAACACAACTGGTCGAGTGAGAGCTTGTGGCGAACTGTCATCAGAATTGATAACCCCAAGTGGTGTTCGTCAAGGCTGCCCACTCTCCCCATTCTTGTTTAACTTTGTCGTTGACGTGCTTTTAGAGATAAAAATTTCCTCATTTAAATTTTCAGGGGTTGAACTTTACCGGGAGATCCACTTGTTGACTTGATGACATAGTTCTATTTGGTGAAGACGCTGACAAAATGCAGAGTCTTCTGACCGCTCTAAGCAACAATGCATGCATGTTCAGGATGCGGTTCTCCCCCTCGAAATGCGAAATGTTGCTTCAGGATTGGGTTGCATCGACACCCGAACTAATGATAGGGAGTGAAGTAATTGAGCGTGTCGACTGCTTCACTTACCTTAGGAGCCTCATCAACTCTTGTGGTTTGGTGTATGACGAAATCTCAGCACGGATACAGAAGGTTCGACTAGCTTTTTCCAACTTACGTCATTTATGGAGTACGCGAAATATCCGTCTACCAACCAAAGGATGGGTTTACTGTTCAGCAGTTTGTTCCGTCCTACTTTGTGCCAGTGAAACTTGGCTGGTAAGAGTAGGCTACTGGTATTCGATCATATGTGTCTTCGAAGCACTGCTCGTATATCCTAGGACCACCGAGTAAGTAATGCAGTTGTTAGGAAACAGGTACTAGGTAAAGATGACAAGTCAGTTGGTGAATTAGTGAAACTTAATCAGTTGAGATGGTTGGGACACGTGTTACGTATGCCCAACCACCGACTGCCCCGACGTGCTATATCCAATGGTATACGAGTAGGTTGGAAGAAAGCTAAGTACGGTCAGACCAAAACGTGGCTTAAATCCACGAAGTCACTGACAAGTGGACTGAGCTATTTTGGTAGGTGTAGACTACGTGGTTGTGATCCATGAGATGATAGCAACCGTTGGTTAGAGACGTTGAATGACATGTCTCAAAATCGTTTGTAATGGCGCAGGTGCATCCACTCTTTGTGTTCTCCCATATTCTAATCTGAATTCTCCTTGTCTTTTTTTTCTCTTTCCAAATTTTCCACTGGATTATACTCCTTAAATAACATCTTCAAACCGTAATGTTTCCGATTACTGTTTATACTCTTACTACCTCCACCTTATGGGATTTGAATACACAACTGTGTCTCTGTTAATGTGGTGTAGCAACTCGAACTGATGTATGTACGTACGAAGTTCTACCTTGTTACTGACTGACTGAAGTTGTAACCAATTTGGTTCAAATGTTGTTACATCCATTTCTTTTAATTAACCTTAATGCATTTACCTTACGTATGGTCAATAATTTATCGTTTTACAGCCAACTTGAGGCAATTATACGAATTTCTGAGTCTTTAGCAAAAATGCGTTTAGCTGCTTTTGCAACTGAAACAGATGTTGAGGAAGCATTACGTCTATTTCATGTTTCAACATTGGAAGCCGCTATGTCTGGAAGCTTAGAAGGTGCGGAAGGTTTTACCACACAAGAGGAACATGAACTTATTCTGCGTTTAGAAAAGCAGTTGAAAAAGCGATTTGTTATTGGCAGTCAAGTATCAGAATATGCTATCATACAAGACTTTACACGTCAAGTATGTAATATTCCAGTGTTTCATTATTTTGGTTTATATAATCGAAATAATTTATTTTAATGTAAATAAGTTTCTTTATCCTATAAAAGTTAAGTGGATTATGTTAGTCTTCAATTAAAATCTTGATATCCATTGCCATTTATAATATTTAGGTTCGACATATTTTCCTTCAAATTTCCTCCAGCCAGTTTAGTAGTTTCCTAAAGATCAATTACTTCTTTTTTTACCATTATCCCCGAATAGAAGAAAAGAAAAAAGCATCTATCAGTTGACATTTCTGTCCCCTACCATTACTTACAGTATATAGAGCAAATGAAGTCTGATCGACTGACTGAAAGAATTCGTCCTCATTTTCACTTGTTATTAAATTATTCCTGTTCAATGGAATATTGGTAATGTTATTTAAACTTTGAGTTCGCACCAGCTTTTCTGTTGTACAATTTACATTACATGTCAAACTTACTAACTTTTCTTATTATTCGTGTGATTTGCAGGGTTTTTCAGAACGCGCTGTGACCAAGGTTTTACACTACATGATTCGCCGAGGTGAAGTACAGTATAGAATGCAAAGGCGTATTTTGTATAGAATTAAATAGAGATATCCAACTTCATTACATTATACTCGTATTGTTTAGTCTTTTCACCGGAGAATTTGTTTCATATAAAGATTATCTTGTAACTGTTTTTCCAAACATCAGTACATTGCATTTATGTATTTTAAATAAAATTGTCTGTTACAGTAATGTATAGCCTCAAACAAACTTATTTCTGATATCAAAACAGAGTTTACTGAATTTTATTTGTTGACAATAGAACAGTGCGCATGGCGTAGTTCATTCAATTTAATTGATTATAAGATATTTGATGAATGATCGGTAAGAAAAGACCAGGTTAAGTAGTAGATTTCGTATGGTTAATCAGATGATGGAGAGTTTATATTACATCGATTGATCATCACCTATGTAGAAAGATATCAATTGTCCTAATCTAAGGTGTGGAAAATTGATTTAATCGCCAAAAGACATCTTGTAGTATTATTAGTTGATGTATTTGATTTATCTGATCAATCGATAAACATGAAGATCAGATGGAATGATACAATTTGAGATTCTGGTGAGAGTTAGTTGTTAACATATCACAGAAATTGGCCAGTGTTTCATACACAATAAGTGGTTGTACAATGGATAAAAATATTGGCAAAGAAGTACATGAGCCTACTTTTTCTCTCGCATTTGAGCGATTAACCAACATTGCTTACCGATAAGTTTCTTTTTGTCGATTAACAGAGGTATGCTACTATCCATTAAGTTAAATAATTGTAAGCGAATGGCAATGACTCGATAAAATGAGTGTGTACTAGGTACCTTCAAGTGTTATCGCTAATGTAAACACTAATCTATCAATAAATAGTGTCAATTAACATATTGCCCAGTAAGCAGGAACATCAACGCTCTCGGACTCGTGCACAAAGCGCACTTGTAACCCATCACAATATACTTTTAGTTTTCTAATCTAAGAGCACACTAACGAAATTAGCTAGTTAGCCATTCACGTGTATTTGGTCATTACAGTTATTTATTGGCACGCCATCTGATAGAATGGTAAATCTGTCATATGAATTTTAAGTGCTAAATGTACTTCGTCAGCTAACGGGATGTCGTGTTTTTAAGAAAAACGTATGGTACTTCACATGATTGCATTACTTGTGTGCCACACCGAGATTACAGGGTCAGTTACAATCGGTGTAGGACTTGGCACAAATATGTACTCCTCCAATGTGCCTTATTGAATTACAACAAGATGAATAATAAATAATACCGAGACAAATGATTCTTAGAATATATTTTACCATAATCAAAACCGATGAAAAGAAATTCACGTTGCATATCATAATACCTAAACACTGAACGAATTGACAAGTTAATTACTATTGATATTAATAGTAATAAAAATTAGATAATAAAGAGACTAATCAATGCATATAAACGTAAAAATATTATATCAAAAGAACATAGGTGATTATCACAACATCGAAATTGTCCGGTAGGAACGCATATTACACGGAAAATGAATTAAAAAGTAATATCATCAAATTAAAGTAAATGCAAGACATAGACGAGTGAAATAAACAGTTTATATATATATATATATATATATATATATATATATATATATATATATATATATATATATATGTAAGGAAATGCACAAATAAAACCAATTTGTCGTATTATTTGTTAATTGTTTATTTAAATGAGTACACAGTTCAATAAAATATTAGACAATGATGAAAATCTAAAAACAAAAAACTCAAAACTAAAGTCAAATACAGATGCAATGTATTATAATATATTTCTTCAGATAAATGATGAGTTAAAGGACTAAATCATTGAATAAAGCTTTTTCTTCATCTATTGTACCTGTTATAGTTTTATTCACTTGATCATAAGTTGTATTTTTCTTTAATCGACGAGATGGTTTTAATCTTGGCATAGATATTTTTGTTCGATCACCAAAAACAATAGCTTGCTCTGGTCTTGAACGATGCGATGACCATAAATGCAATTTTTGCCGACGTCTCCACTCAGCAATAAGTAGACCAATGAAGCAACAAATTAAACCAAGACTAAATGCTAATAACAAAGCAGAAGTATGACCTTCAGATTGACTTTGCTTAACAGCAGCTATTATACCTTGTGATGAATCAGTTGTTGTAATGGGACTACTAGTACTAGTGAGAGTCGCCGGTCGATTTCCATCTGAAGACCGAAAAAAATAGATATGTAAGTGAACAGGAAAACATCCAAATTCACTTATTATGTGTTTACGTAAGCGACTTTGAACCACACTGTGTGTGGGAGCTAATGACACTACCGTACTGGTCGAACTGAAGTAATCAATAGCATATAGATTACTTTTACATAGTTTCTATAAACCTAAAGTACAACTACTGTGTCGTAGAAGCGGTATTACTTGAAGCGAAGACATATTTTTAGATAATTTCTTCAGATGATTATACTGAAGATAACATCACCGTTTTTATTAATCTTGACAGTATGGGATAGGATATTTCCTATTCATTTTTTTATCGAAAATTCTCAATACAAAAAATGTTCCAGCTACAAAAATCCCCACTTCGTTTTCAAATAACTAATCTTTTATAAGAAAAATTGAAAGAATCAAACGCTTTGTAATTGTTAGTATGGGGATGTGAATTGTGTCAGATATTGACTCTTCTCAAATAGTGCGAAACAAGTAGTCTAAACTCATACCTAGTTCGATAAAAGAACGAAGTGATCGAGATAGTCGCACTAGTTAGTTCTAATGACCAATAAAATTTAGCCAAGGAGAGGGGATAGACTGATAGTTAAATATCTAAGTCATGCGTTATTCGAAATGAACTTAGTTGCCTATTAATAAATACAACAGTGAATCGTTAAGGAAAGGAAATTGTTTGTAAAATGCCATCATCATTGTTTACACCGATAATCAACACGATTATGTAAAATTGGTTAGTAAAAAGAACTTACCATTAACAAGATAAGGAAATAAGCATAAGATTATCTTATCAGATCTAATTGATGATATCCCTAATGTGGTTGTATTGTGGCCTAAAGTCGATAAACCAATCATCTCGTGACGATCACTTTATGTATATCATCAAAAAACATGAAAGTACGTAATGTTTTCTGATTTAGAAACCAATGCTGAATACTTTAATATATATATATATATATATATATATATATATATATATATATATATATATATTGATTTTTAACAGTTGAGATCATGATTCGGTTGAAGCAAGGCCACCATGGAAAACCTGGAAGCATTGGACGGCCGCCGTTTCGTCCTATTGTGGGACTCCTTAGCACCGCACATTCACGATCCCGCTAAATTGACTCATGATCTCAACTATTGAAATTACTATAATGTCCACAAAACCCCCTTCTGATATATATATGATGATTATTTGGACTGCGATTGATCAGTCTCCTTTAGTATATATGAACCATGTGCGAATTACACTGCTAACCACCATCTATCTCTGCTTCAACACACAGCTCAGCTAACTCACTATAGTCAAATGTGCATTTGTTCATCTTAGTTTGAGCCAAAATGTGGGTATTTGAAAGTTGGTGATGCTAACCTGTTGTTTGAAATGGAGATAAATTCCAAAATGTAACTCAATGTTTGAGAGACAATCGCTCTAACCACAAATCCACCAACCCGCTCTACACACATAGTGTACTGATGAATAACTAGCCAGCAAAAGATAATCATAAGGGATGAATAATTATTGGATTGATATGTATTCATAGCATGTCAAATTTTGTGTTCTGTGGTAGTACTTAGTCACAACATACACTTCTTACGGTATACCAAAGGTATTATAAAAATAAGAATAAAATAAGTAGGAAAGTTTAATTATCGAATTGAGCTATAAACTATACGTGCATACATACGATTGTCCTTCTAACTTAGACAAGAGCATGTAGGCTGAGGTCTTGAGTAATCAATTTCCTTCAATCCCTCGTTTATAATTGTTCGGCTACTGTTTGACTATGGGATGGCATAAGAGAAAATGCATGTAATATTATCTACACTCACCCAGTTATATTTGACCGTTAACAGGATTAAATTATTTGTACTTTGATACTATGTATGAGATTAATGAACTCACTTTTATCTATACTAGATCCCTTTTGATAATTGTCTTCAAATTCATTCCTATGATGGATGTGTTTTGGCTCTACAAATGTCCAAGTAGAAAAATTTTTAAAAAACCAGTATTAGCAAATTAGTGGACAGTATGAGAGTTGCTGAGACATAATGAATAAAAAATGTTCAAGATAACGAGGACGATATTTTAGGATGATCCTCAATAGTTAAAGAATATCTTACATTATCCTAAACACGTGTTGGCAAACTTAAATATTATCTTTACAACGTCGACATGAAATATGAATAATACCTTGGATAAGCAACAGGTGATAGAACACATTCGTTGAACAGCTTTCGCTCAAGGTTATCTTAGAACAGAGCTGATCACATAGTATCGTACATCCGACTCTATACAGTAAAACTATTAATAAAACGACTCCATAGGTAGATAACGTTGACACACAATGCCCTAGTTTTCGACAAAGAGACTGATCTCATTTGTTATAATATCACAAAAGCCCATACAAATATTGAAATCCATGAACGGCTCATTACAAGGATTAAGTGGAAACATGGGTTCCAGATAATTTTTATGTAGTACTTTCCATTTTAACAGTGAGACATATACCATAACCATATACTCTGAATGCCAACTAATTGAGTGTTATTTGAGTGGTTAGCATACAGTAAGGTACCATCTGTATTCGCAAAGTCAAAAAGTTTCTTGTGGCAAGAGATGTAAACCACCACCATTAGAGCTATTTCCAAAATTTAGCTAAAAGAAAAACTACAGAATACTGATTAGGTTAAATAATCTTTGCTAACTGCGCTAACAGATTAAGGAAATGAAGAAAGGTGATTATATATACTCACTAAACGTGAAATGTTCTTATACAAAGCTTTAAAGATTTTAGAAAACTTATCAGGCCCATCTATCTTTAACAGACAGCATTACAGTACAACTCATCAGATGGTGTTTCAGCATTCATCCAAAGGTGAAGGATGTAATCAAAGCATCTAAGACTCGAATGAAACGTAGACTACTCCTCATAATTCAGTGTTTCGTGTGAAATATAGTGGGAATGAATATTGTAAACTCAACTGGTTGAAGTCGTGTACACCGATGGTTATCACTATCTAACAAGTAAGAATCCCCTGAAGACGTAGAAGTTACTTTGTTTCGATGTGAAGAAAAAATGTTTAGTTAGCTACAAATTTTCACACAATCGTTGAAAGGGTTAGGGTCTCATCGATTGGGATTTCTTCTATAACCTCACCAAGCTTTATGGGATGAAATAACAAACAATACCTGTTGAGGAAGTGGGTTTCGAAACTACTCACGTCATGAGATATGAAAGAAGGCGCCAGATTTTAGTGTAAGACAGTAAGAAAACTCGCTAGGATGAATCAACGTTTATCGCTAAACAATAAAAATACTATTAATGGACTATTAAGTTATAAACTCTATTCAGTAAATTTTTCGGTTAGGCAACACACATTTTCTACAGTTTGAAAGCTTTGAATTTGAATTTTACCAATGATAAGGAACTACTATGGAGAGAAACTGGAGGCAATCACTTCAACATGTCATGAGGTTCTGGGCCAAAAGAAGCACCATCACAAGGATTGGATCACGATCGATACACTAGATAAGATTCAAGAAAGGAGGAACAAGAAGGCAGCAATCAATTCCAGTCGAACAAGAGCAGAAAAAGTCAAGGCACAGGCTGAATACACAGAAGTAAACAAGCAAGTGAAAAGGAGCATCAGAACTGACAAACGTAAATATGTGGAAGATTTAGAAGTGACGGCGGAAAAGGCTGCAAGAGAAGGAAACATGAGACAACTGTATGAAACAACAAATAAACTCTCTGGAAATCACCGTAAACCAGAACAACCAGTGAAAAACAAGGAAGGCAAGGTAATCCACCAACATTGAAGAACAACGAAACAGGCGGGTAGAACACTTCAAAGAACTGTTGAATCGACCAGCCCCACTGAAGTCACCCAACATAGAAGCAGCACCCACGGACCTCCCAACCGATGTTGGCCCACCAACAATTGAAGAAATCAACACGGCCATCAGACAAATCAAGAGTAGCAAAGCAGCAGGACCAGACAACATTCCAGCAGAGGCACCGAAAGCAGACGTAGCGGTAACTGCAAGGATACTCCACATTCGCTTCAATAAGATTTGGGATGGGGAACAAGTACCAAAAGACTGGAAAGAAGGGCTTCTGGTCAAAATACCAAAGAAAGGCGATCTCAGCAACTGTGACAACTACAGGGGAATCACTCTTCTCTCAATACTAGAAAAGTCTTCAACAGGGTATTGTTAAACAGGATGAAGGATTGCGTAGACGCCCAATTTCGAAACCAACAGGCAGGAATCCGTAAGGATCGATCGTGTACAGACCAAATCACAACTCTACGGATCATTGTGGAACAATCAATTGAATAGAATTCATCACTCTATATCAACTTCATTGACTACGAGAAAGCATTTGACAGCATGGATAGAACACAACCCTATGGAAGCTTCTTCGACACTACGGCGTGCCTCAGAAGATAGTCAATATCATACAGAATTCCTATGATGGATTAAACTGCAAAATCGTTCATGGAGGACAGTTGACAAACTCCTTCGATGTTAAGACCGGTGTCAGGCAAGGTTGCTTACTCTCTCTCTCTCTCTCTTTCTCCTGGTGATCGACTGGATCACGAAGACGTCAACATCTGAAGGGAAGCACGGGATACAGTGGACATCTAGGATGCAGTTGGATGATCTAGACTTCGCAGATGATCTGGCTCTTCTATCGCATACGCAACAACAAATGCAGTGTAGCAGTGTAGCAGCAGCCTCAGCAGCAATAGGTCTCAATATACACAAAGGGAAAAGCAAGATTCTTCGATACAACACAGCATATAACAATCCAGTCACAATTGACGGAGAAGCTTCGGAAGATGTAAAAAACTTGACATATTTGGGCAGTATCATCTGGAGCTCAAAACAATTGGCAACCAACACCAAAGTCATAATTTTCAACACAAATGTCAAAACAGTTCTACTGTATGGGGCGGAAACCAGGAAAACTACGAAAGCTATCACCCAGAAGATACAGGTGTTTATTAACAGTTGTCTACGCAAAATACTTCGGATCCGTTGGCCAGACACTATTAGAAACAACCTACTGTGGGAGAGAACAAATCAGATTCCAGTGAAGAAAGAAATCAGGAAGAAGTGCTGGAAGCGGATAGGATACACATTGACGAAAGCACCGAACTGCATCACAAGGCAGGCTCTCACATGGAATCCTCAAGGCCGAAGGAGGAGATGACGACCTAAGGTATTTAAGACTAATTTTTCCTCTTTAATGTCTCACATTAACTCGGCACACAAATATTGTGAAACTATTCGTTCAAATTTAGACGAAAGTTCTTATTAATTTTTAATTTGTTCGACTATAGCTACGCTTACATTGACTTGATATTATTACGAAAAAGGATACCTACAAGAAACATAAATCCTACAATATTAAAAAAAATGGAAACTTGCTGAAACTGATGGCATAAAAATAACATTCATGATTGATAAATATAGATATTGTTAAGTTAACTATACCAGTCGCCTGCTTCAATTAATTGAGTTGTAATAAGAAACCTTGTAAAGAATAGCATACAAGTTAAAATTAAAATATACATACACACACACATACCATGAACCAACGGATACTTTTTTAAAGCATCACCTGTTTCACTAAATTTATTGATAAAGTCCATATTTTCCAGTACAGTTGGATCAATTATCATCTCAGATTGGTGTTTACGATCCAGATTATATTGAAAAAATTGTGGTTCATCTTGATGTGATCCACGCATAAAATTATTAGAATGATGATAAGGAATGAACGATAAATCATTTCTCTGTGATGACTGAGGATAATCAACTTTAAAAGTATTGAATGATCTGGGCCTGTACAGTCCTGCTGTTTCATATGGTTTCATTCGTGATAGTACCGAATGATGATGATCCGGTCGATATAGATGCTTTCTAGGCAATGATTGTGAAAGGACATCACCACCACTCTGTGATGAAATATCATGAATTAGTCCCTTAGGATAATGCCATCCATCATCATCACTTGAAGTAAAAAACATCTCAGGATTGTTATCATTATTTTCATTAATTTTATTATTTATATCAAGCATGAACGATTCTTTATCATCAACATTGAATAGTGGTTTTTGGTTAGCAGATTTAATTGGGTTTGATTTTCTCAGCTGTTCCCTACCATTATGATAATTTGGTTGACTAGAATAAAATAATGGATCAGACAGATCGTGTAAATCCATCAACGCTGGGGAAGTACTTCGAGATGTAGTTAAAAAAGATGGTTGACTGGATTGATATCTTTCCAAGGGCTGATAACTTACATTTGAAGGTTTAGACAAAATTCCCTCGTCGAATTCACTTTGTTTTTGATTACGCGGTAACGACAGATTGGTTTCATTTTGCTTTTGAATTACTCCTGTGTACAGAAAAATTACAAATGGAAATTTTATGATTCACCTCTTAAAAAATGCTACATGGGGAACCGAGATTTAGACCATACTATTCAGAAATATGTTTAAGTACATTTTACAAACTATTTGTGGTAGTGAGCATAACCAAACAAGGATTACTGAATACAGACTATTTCAGCACTGAAAAATTGTTTTAGCATCGTACAAAATATATAGCCATAGTTAAAGAGAGCAAGAACGAAGATTGATGCAGAATAATATGAATTCATGTTATTTCGCTAGGTTCTCATTAGCTGCTTACAACCTATAATATTTTAAAATCAATATTCTTACAGATATTGACATACTTACACATATGAGAGTGATTAAAGATGAATATGTATATTATGATGTAGCGAAGCTTTCAATAGAATCAATGTCATAAAGACTTTGTTTCATCACATAACCATTTAACGTTTGTTAACTTCATGAGTTCTAGTTACTATTCCCCTCACAAATTTGATTTATGCGAAACAAAATTTTTATGGCCTTATTAACTCTATAAAGGGAACTATATGTATGAAACAGCCATAGTTGTTGAACTTAGTTTTAGATCCAGTTTAGCGAGCTTTGTAATTATATGCAGTAATCTCGAATATTCACATGTTCGAAAAAATTTGAATACTTCAACATAAAAAACGATAATCAGTGAGAATAGCATCTATACCGAGTGAACACTCGGTTTTTAAATTTCCGAATTCTACAGGACTGAAAGTTATTTCTAAAACCAATCAAAATACTATCAAGTGATTGTATATCCATTACAATTAATGTTACTAAAGTGTAAATAATTTGACGTAGAGTTATACCTGAGTTATGAAAATCGATTCCTAACGAATTTGCATCACGTATTTGCGCTCACTTGTTAGCGACAAAATGGTTCAAATAAGGTGGTTGGCTCCCTTTAATATGATATGTGCTTTAACTCTTGACAATTCAATCAGTCAGTGAGTTACAACGTAGGACCAGGCACATACATGCATCGGTTCAAGTTGGCACACCTCATTAGCACAGCAACACGAACACCGGATTTATAGAAGCAGTTAATTCAATGGTGTAATACATAAAGGAAAGATTTTACGTAAGGATATAGTACAGAAAAACAGAATTAGTTCGTAGAAAGAAAGATATGAGGTGATTTTAGTCTCTTAGTTTAAAGGAAGACAGAGTGTATACGCCTACGCCATTGTGATCAATTCTGAGCCATGTCACCCAGAGTCTCTAACCATTGGTTACGATAGTCGCGCGGACCCCAACCAAGTAGTCTGCATCTACCAACATGGCTCAGACTAGAAGTTAGTGACTTCAAGCACTGATGCCACGTTTTTGTTTGGCCGCCCCTAACATTCTTCCAACCATTCCCAACACTAGTCAGCATTGCACATCGTGGTAATTGGTGTTCAGGCGTACGCAACACGTGGCCCAACCATCTCAGTTGATGAAGATTCACAACCTCATCAACTGATTTACCATCATTCCCTAATACTTTGCGTCTAACCTCACTATTGCTTACCCGGTGATCCCAGAAGATGCGAGCAATATTCCCAAGATATTCGTGAATAAATGCTAGTAGCTTACGAGTATCTTCTACTCTTAATGGCCACACCTCGCAACCGTAAAGTAGAACAGAACGAACTGCTACGCAGAATACTCGTCCCTTAATTGGTAGACGAATATCTCGCATTCGCCATAGGTGACGTGAGTCAGCAAAAACCAAACGAGTTTTTCGAATCCTGGCTGAGATTTCGTCAGACACCAATCCATTAGGGTTGGTCAGACTTCCAAGATAAGTGAAGCTGTCAACGCGTTCGACTACTTCACTCCCTATCATTAGTTCAGGTGTTGACGCAGGCCAGTCCTGAAGCAGCAATTTGCATTTAGAGTGGGAGAAACACATCCCAAACATCCTGGCATTGTTGCTCAGTGCTATCAAAAGGTTGCATTTTATCAGCGTCTTCACTAAACAGAACTATATCATCTGCGTATTCTAAGTCGATAAGTGGACCTCCTAATAGGAGATCAATGCCCGAAAATTCCATATACATAAAGAGAAAACAGACTATGTGAAACCCGTATTTATCGAATAACGATACTTGATCATATTCAGGAGTAATAATATAGCATCCCACCTTTTGTTCCTCAATATCATGTTTTCCTTACAAAACATAGATCCTAATTTTAGTTTCCAGTATCGTTGATTTTACAAAATACACTTGTTTCATTTTTATCTTTGACGTAGATGGTAACCAAACATACATAATGTCTTAATCTATGAATGTTTATAGCTTCTTCAACTTTTCTTTTGCTGAATACTCCAACAAAAACACTTGCATTTCTTAGTGATATTACTGTATCCAAGTAATGATTTGAAGATACCTACGAGTGAATACATTCAACTTATGGAAATCTACTTTCAATATACACAACCCACAAGAACCATACAGAGGGTACTGCCTAGTACGTTTTCTTTGGTAAGTATTTAGATATGTTTGCCTACGCCACAGGCAGTAAAAGTTAAACAATACTGACCAAGCAAAATAAATGATAATGCCAATGTTAATAAAGTGGTCGACACTCCCTAATTCTGTTACTATGGTAGAACCAACCAGACTGATACAGACCACTTTCGGAGTAACATTATGTGACATCTGCATATTTATTAACTATGATATCAAATGATTAAATCGTAAGAAAACGGTAACTAGAATATGGGCTACAACTATTGCTGAAACTTTTACCTATTAAAACGCTAGTTCAGATAACAACTCATTTTAAGCTTAGAGAGATTTAACTTCTATTTTAATTGCCGTTACTGTATAATAAATCTATTAACCATGACTATATGAAATAGTTTAGTGACTGACTTGTGACATAGATTAAAACATCCAAAACTAATTTGTTACATATAAAAAAGCAACATACTTGAAGGGCAAAACAATTCATCTGATCCATCCGGGCATTCAACTATTCCGTTACATTTATCATAGATAGCTACACAAGTAGAAGAATCATCACACTGGAATTGAAGTTCCGGTGATTTACAAACTGACTGAACTAAAATATTACATTACAGAAATACTAATAAAATGTGGGACTATACGTACCACATGAACCTTTCTTAGCAATCCAACCAGACTGGCAAATACATATCCCATCAGAGCATATAGTTTTAACTTCATCACACAAGTTATTTGAATCACAATGTTGATTTAGACCAACTAATTAATCGAATACGTTGTCATTTCATTAATTACCTTTGTTTTTCAAACTCTGATTACCGTTTGACTCTTCCAAGACGATTGTATCATAATTGGAATGACTAGAATAAAAGCATTGTCCAGGCTGTCGACAATCAAACATAAAACAGGACTGTGTAGCCTATTATGATGAATTTTTTATGTAATGCAGAAATAAAATTTACCTTAGATTCAAATATTGCCGTGCTACATTCATTTGTATTGCAACACATAAAGTAACATTCTTTAAACGATGATACTTTTAACTTTTTGAGAAATTTAGCACCAGCTGAAATGGACTTTTGAGTTAAGATGATTCTGTTTGGCTTGAATTGAAAATTTTTCCCGCAGTTATTATTAATGCTGTTGTCAATATTGTTCTCTGTAAACGTTGTTATTGGCCAAATAGCAACCACAAGTTGGTATGTTATGGCTAGAAAAATCAGATTCTTCATAGAGAGGGGTTTGAAAGACTGATTCAACAGCAAGCAATGATCTCTAACCTAAAAGCTGTTCAAAGTAAAAATGAACTAAATTGTAAGAGAATATTTTAAAGATAATAACAATGACCCTAACAAATAATTCTTTACTGTATTACCTAGTGTATTACAAACAAAAACCAACAAACACTTATGCAGTCCACAATAACATATACCAATAAAACTTGCTCGAATGAAAAAATATGTCACAACCTCTGTACTAAAACGAAGTTGGTTATATACTGAGCAAACAGGATCATATGATCAACATCTTGTATTGTCAATCAATCAACACAAAGTTTCTACCTTGATTCTAAAATCAAGTGACTTGTGTGGCGCATATGTATTCGGTGCCCCTTTGTACCAATATTTAAGTGTTCAAATAAATAAGTAAGACTTTATACACAGTACCCGTTCGTCCTAAACTCGAGTACTTCAGCCGCTTAAGCGGCTGTTGAAAAAGGTCCAAAGAACCACAACTGAGCTAATCCTCGAAATAGCAAATCTACGATGTGAAGCTCGGCTGACTAAACGAAATCTATTTTTATTATCGTATAGAAGAACCAGAGGCGACTTGATCGCCGTCTTTTCAATTACTCAGTGGTAAATTTTCATTTGATATGCCCTCACTTCTCTTGTCTTCCAAAACAGGATTCACGAGGACGCTACAAGGTTCGCAATCCTAGGACAAATTGCTTGTCAGCTGACTATCGACTTCTTCATTGAATCAACGAATTGGATTCGTTAACTTTATTTTGACGCTTTCAAAAGGAAGGTGGATCAACTGAGAGACCACCACTGTCAGGACTAATACAGGACACTCAAACTCGTGTCGTTTTAAAACAATTGTGAACTCCAATTTCTAAAGTATACCGTACGGTATACCTACGTAGGTTTGTTATGGTGTCCTAAGAGACTAATCACCTCTATTTCTTTATCTATCACATGAATTCTTGAAAACCTAAGTAGCACGAATACATGAGCCTAACAAATAAGGTAATGACGTTGTGAATGTGTGAAAAGAGGACTATAGTAGTATGTAATATGAGATATCCCAATCAACCAATAAAGGGGAAATAAAGGCGAAAAAAGGGGAAATAAAGGGGAAAATGCTTTGGTAAAGAAAGGGGAAATTTAGGGGAAAACGCGCCAAAATATCGCCTTTTTCGCCTGTCTGGGGGAAATAACACGGATTTCCCCCTTTTTGTCGCCTTGTCGCTAAATTGTCTACTTTTCGCCTAAATATCCGCCAAACTTTCTACTATTCGCCTAAATATCCGCAGAATTGTCTACTTTTCACCTAAATTTCCGCCGAATTGTCTACTTTTCGCCTAAATTTCCGCCGAATTGTCTACTTTTCGCCTAAATTTCCGCCAAATTGCCTACTTTTCGCCTAAATTTCCACCAAATCGTCTACTTTTTCGCCTAAATATCCGCCGAATTGTCTATTTTTCGCCTAAATATCCGCCGAATTGTCTACTTTGCGCCTGTTCTATATAGAACAGTTTAGAAATACAACCAAGAACTTCTTTAGGTAATTCGTAACACTTTCGTGCCTATAGGCACGAGCATTATAATGCTCGAGAAAACTACCGAAGGGTCGTTGCTGGTTTTTATTTTAACCCATGTTTGATATCACATTAAGTTAGTGATGTAAATCAGCTCCAAGTCCCTAATTGAGGAGTTTTGATTAATTGATAAGTAACTCCTCAAAAATATATTTCTCATGCGACAAAGCTGTCATAATCTGGCTACCCGTTCGTTAATTAATGAACGAACCATAAGCTTTCATAGTCAATGAGTAGTCAAAAAATAATGAGTTCAGCACATAAAATGAACGTTATAAACATTGTGTTCGACTTTGAAGTCGAAAATTTATTTGACCGCAAATAGACAATCCTTGGAGTATAAGACAAATAAAGCGAATACGGATTAAACGTTGCTACGCTTCAACTCACTCTGACTCAAAATTCATTTGAAACGCCCAACTTATTTCAAGCGTATATAATATCTGCCGTCTTGTCTTTCATATCTCAAACATCGTTAAGCAGAAATAACAAACTGTTTGTTATTTGATATATGCGTCTGGACAGGAGGTAGTGTCCTTGATAACAGAGATCTCTATTATCAAGGACACATAAACTAAATCTCGAGATTTAGTTCATGTGCTATTTTCTGGGATTTTTCTGGACACATTTGTAGCGGCAAATAAATCCCTGAAATAAATAGTCCTATAAGTTTTTGACTATGATGCTGACCTCATTAGTTTTACTAGACACACCATAGCTGAAGGCGTCCGATCACGCAGCCGCACCAGATCACGTGTACGTCCTGCTATGCATTCCTTGCAACTACTAGCCAGCTTAGATCGGATGACTCCCGATATATCGATGATTTCCCAAATACATCTTCGAACTAATTTATCTCTGACTTCTGATTTGACTTGGCTGGCGTCTTTCGATTATAAACGTGTTACGGACAAAGGCGTTGTCAATCCCTGAATATTTTCAACATTTTTAGTTGTGAATCCTACGTGATCTGATGCGTCAAACGGTGAGTTGTGAGTATGTTTCTTATTGGAACACTGTTTGCATGTCATGATAGTATTTCTATGTTCTCGGATCTTTTCGCCTATTTATATTTTACTTTTCTCGTGTCGGAATACGCACCCAAGCTATTTGGGATTAAGATTCTTAAGCTCCCACCCTTCAAATCATGTCATTATGGCCTAATAATATCAGAAGTTAGGTTCCATGGGCACGATGTGCTAGACTCACTTGTGCGATTCCTTGCTGTATCGAAGGCACTGCTGCGCAATTTTCACAGGTATGTCACACCTTATGCTTACTAAATGTATCAGAATCTTACGACACCTTAGGAAAGGCTATCCTTAAACGAAGAGGCCTGACCGATCGACAAACGTTTAACCAACTATCCCACAATTTAGAATTGCGACACTGCTCAGAAACAGAAGTGTTGCTAAGTACTCGGGAGGTCATCAGTCAACGAACTTTCGACGAATGTCTCCTTAGACATCTCTTTTTATCTAAGCCTCCGCGGCAGGTACAAGCAGTTTGCGTTTCATTACAACATAACAACGTGGATAAACTGGCTCCATCTGCGAATCCGATTTTGGAGATCACCAGAAATTTCAGCCCAGAGGTTTATCCTGTCAAAAAAGCCTCTTACTTACGACTGTTACTCCCAATGGAACATAAGCCGCCGACCAGCATTCTCCAACCCACTCTGTCCTGAGCCTTCTTTTCTAGTTCCATCCAATTCTTAATCATTCTTCTCATGTCTATCTCCATTTCTCGGCGTAGTGTGTTCTTTGGTCTTCATCTCCTCCTGCGGCCTTGAGGATTCCATGTGAGAGCCTGCCTTGTGATGCAGTTCGGTGCTTTCGTCAATGTGTATCCTATCCGCTTCCAGCACTTCTTCCTGATTTCTTTCTTCACTGGAATCTGATTTGTTCTCTCCCACAGTAGGTTGTTTCTAATAGTGTCTGGCCAACGGATCCGAAGTATTTTGCGTAGACAACTGTTAATAAACACCTGTATCTTCTGGGTGATAGCTTTCGTAGTTTTCCTGGTTTCCGCCCCATACAGTAGAACTGTTTTGACATTTGTGTTGAAAATTATGACTTTGGTGTTGGTTGCCAATTGTTTTGAGCTCCAGATGTTCTTCAGTTGTAAATATGCTGCTCTTGCTTTGCCAATCCGTGCCTTCACATCTGCATCAGATCCACCGTGTTCATCGATGATACTGCCCAAATATGTCAAGTTTTTTACATCTTCCGAAGCTTCTCCGTCAATTGTGACTGGATTGTTATATGCTGTGTTGTATCGAAGAATCTTGCTTTTCCCTTTGTGTATATTGAGACCTATTGCTGCTGAGGCTGCTGCTACACTGCTACACTGCATTTGTTGGTGCGTATGCGATAGAAGAGCCAGATCATCTGCGAAGTCTAGATCATCCAACTGCATCCTAGATGTCCACTGTATCCCGTGCTTCCCTTCAGATGTTGACGTCTTCGTGATCCAGTCGATCACCAGGAGAAAGAGAGAGAGAGAGAGAGTAAGCAACCTTGCCTGACACCGGTCTTAACATCGAAGGAGTTTGTCAACTGTCCTCCATGAACGATTTTGCAGTTTAATCCATCATAGGAATTCTGTATGATATTGACTATCTTCTGAGGCACGCCGTAGTGTCGAAGAAGCTTCCATAGGGTTGTGTTCTATCCATGCTGTCAAATGCTTTCTTGTAGTCAATGAAGTTGATGTAAAGTGATGAATTCCATCCAATTGATTGTTCCACAATGATCCGTAGAGTTGTGATTTGGTCTGTACACGATCGATCCTTACGGATTCCTGCCTGTTGGTTTCGAAATTGGGCGTCTACGCAATCCTTCATCCTGTTTAACAATACCCTGTTGAAGACTTTTCTAGTATTGAGAGAAGAGTGATTCCCCTGTAGTTGTCACAGTTGCTGAGATCGCCTTTCTTTGGTATTTTGACCAGAAGCCCTTCTTTCCAGTCTTTTGGTACTTGTTCCCCATCCCAAATCTTATTGAAGCGAATGTGGAGTATCCTTGCAGTTACCGCTACGTCTGCTTTCGGTGCCTCTGCTGGAATGCTGTCTAGTCCTGCTGCTTTGCTACTCTTGATTTGTCTGATGGCCGTGCTGATTTCTTCAATTGTTGGTGGGCCAACATCGGTTGGGAGGTCCGTGGGTGCTGCTTCTATGTTGGGTGACTTCAGTGGGGCTGGTCGATTCAACAGTTCTTTGAAGTGTTCTACCCATCTGTTTCGTTGTTCTTCAATGTTGGTGATTATCTTGCCTTCCTTGCTTTTCACTGGTCTTTCTGGTTTACGGTGATTTCCAGAGAGTTTATTTGTTGTTTCATACAGTTGTCTCATGTTTCCTTCTCTTGCACCCTTTTCCGCCGTCAATGCCAAATCTTCCACATATTTACGTTTGTCAGTTCTGATGCTCCTCTTCACTTGCTAGTTTATTTCTGTGTATTCAGCCTGTGCCTTGACTTTTTCTGCTCTTGTTCGACTGGTATTGATTGCTGCTTTCTTGTTCCTCCTTTCTTGAATCTTATCCAGTGTATCAATAGTGATCCATGCCAACGACATTTGAAAGCTTCACTGTCATCTGCAAACGTCTTTATGTTAACTGACGCTCTTTCAATCGTGCTACTCGTCATTTGCAATGCAGCGTTATCTGTAGTTGGATACTCTGTAGCACGTTTCGGTTACGTGTTGACATTCAAACTTCAGGAGAATTTGTGAATTTCTCATCATTTTCAACAAATATAGATTTAAACTCCTGCCTACACTTGACCGCATCCAACTGGTGTTTCAGTTCAACCCATCACGGCAGTTCTCCAAATCTAAATATGAATAACCTTCTAAAGTTCTGTATCGCAAAGCTAGTAACTATGCCATCGATAAGGACAGAATAATAGTACATTTCAGACATAGCAACCAAACCAGTTTTACAAACATGGTCAATTATTTTCAATATTGATTTAAGAAGTTTTCCAAGTAGGGGTTTCAAATTTATAAAACCAGTACTTTCATGCTGATGTTACAGAGAGTTAACTATTATGTTTATATGATATTAAGACGTTTTGAGTGCAGTTTCTATGATCAGTTTCAAAAAGACACTAACGATAACGTCGCCACTGGCCGTCATAGACCACGGACTTTAAGGTAAACTCTAAATATGTCGACATTCATATTGGAAAATCTCTAGATGCGAGCTTCAAGACAATAATTCCAACCCCGATAGCAAGCAACCACGGTAAAAATTTGCTAGAATCTGAAAGCTGACCAAAAAGGCGTTTTTTTGTATGAACGATAAGGTTTCTAGATCACGAGAACGACTACTACACGCGTGACAGTGTATCTTTTTTTGTTTTATCTCTCCATTTGCGCCCCAAAGTATTTGGTTTTATCCTCAGTTTCCGTTTCACATATTATCTTGTCAAAAACAAAAAGATCATTTTTCTAAAATCCTTAAGTATTTAGATATTTCTTCAAATATAAAAAATCCAAAAGATGCCTTTTTGTCAAAATTTTTCACGCTGTCTCATGGTATGTATACGAACGTAAGGGTATATTTTATTATACACCGGAAATTTCATTGTTTTTGATTTTCCGGGACGACTGAATTAGATGAAAAACGATGATTAATACAAGGATTCGAAACCGCCATCCTGCAACATTTTTTTGTTATTTCTTCCCTTATAGATCCTTATATAAAGGCAAGTCACAACAAGCTATCAGAAAGGTGTTTACTAATTGCAAGCTAGTAAAGGCTAAACTTCTTGCTGACTATGAACTTGGGTCACCACTCCCTCTAGTGGGAGTGGTCAACAAATCCGCGAAGCAAATACTTTTGTAAGTCTTCGACTTTGATGCTGACCTCATTAGTTTTACTAGACACACCATAGCTGAAGGCGTCCGATCACGCAGCCGCACCAGATCACGTGTACGTCCTGCTATGCATTCCTTGCAACTACTAGCCAGCTTAGATCGGATGACTCCCGATATATCGATGATTTCCCAAATACATCTTCGAACTAATTTATCTCTGACTTCTGATTTGACTTGGCTGGCGTCTTTCGATTATAAACGTGTTACGGACAAAGGCGTTGTCGATCCCTGATTACCTGCAGCATCTTCACATTTATCGCACGCATCCTGCAACTGTCAGTTATTTTCAAACGCGTTGTGAATCAACGCTATTCTGTTTTTATATCATGACATAATGATATGACACATTTTCGCCAGGTCAGGTACATATCATTTTCACACTCATGATCTATGATTTTCAACATTGGTTTGAATATATGATGCCTAACGATTAGGGTTCATCAATACATGACATCAATAAAAATAAAAGACAGTAAATTGGACACCAGGTCCGAAATTAACTTTATCGTATTAGAACTCTGGTCCTGCCGAGTATATATTCAGTGCGACCGGTTAAAAAGTTTGTGATTGGTATGATGTTTATTCCAGGATTGTCTGCTGAGCTGTGACTTTGACAGACGTGGGCAACGGTAATATGGTATTATGATAGTTTTTACGCTACATTCTTATTT